ATCTGTTATTCTTTTGAACTAGATAGTATTAGCATCGTAAATTAAGGAAGTAGAGGGAGCATTCTGGTCAATTTGATTATTTAGCAAATGAAATCCGTTGTATAGCAAAGTCAACATTTTCTTTACTTTGCAGTAAAAACTAACACTATTCATTCAAACAGCCTTCTAAAATAAAAACGAAGAGAAATGGAAAGTTGCTAGCAGCCGTTGATTGTCATTTTGAAGTGATTGACAATTGGAAAGTCAAATAACTTAGAAGTCTTTTTGGTGAGTTCATCCTTTAAATTCTTAGACTGAACCAATTGTATTTTTACAATTGTGGGTTCTTATCTACCACATGTTATAAATTTTATTGGATTTTACATAGAAATTTGTTCTCCATATCAAAAATATAGGATTCAGATGACCGCAACGTTGCATCCGCCAATTAGAGGGGCACCCTCTAAAAGTAGTAGGGGTAGGGATTAGGGGTAGTTGGGAGTGGGAATGTGGGAAGGTTGGGGCAATGATTGAAAGGGTGACCCTTATGCCTTAAAAAAGCCTTAAACCACTGGTGTTTCTGGCTCCATAGCTATTGTCCAAGAATTACAAGAGAAGAAGCTTCTGCCAATCCAACAAACTGAAATGTTATCATCTACATAACTCAAGGACCCCTCAACCCCCACTATGTGACAGAGATATGTACGACCCAACCTACAAATGAGTGAGGAAATATATCACCAATTTGGAAGACAAAAACAGAGCTTATGCCGACTCCAAAAAGCTAAGGCGAACCCACAACACTGTATGACGTTTTCCGAGTTAAAAAACAGAATACAAGTGTCACTCTCTATTTCTAACTTTCAAGTTGATTTCACTCTTCAAAAGCATTGTCATGGTTTGACAAAAGCATGATACTTAAAGTATTGTTTAATTCAAGTTTGTGTTTGCACCTTCATTAGAGGGATTTCACTTGAACACGTCCACAAACTTGTGGATAACTATGGACCTACAGACTACACGCTAAGTGGAACATTTGTCTTTAGTGGTTTGTGCATCTGCTCTGCTTAGAAAAAAGAAAAAATGGCTATGAAGTCTCATATACTTGTACACATACAAATCACATAAACAATTACTCGTATATAAATCCATCATACGGAAGCAGAAGTTGTTTGACCAGCCAAGTGCACGGAATGCATTTGGCCAAGTTTCTCAAGAGGCCAAAAGTATTTTTTTTTTTTCAGAAGCACTTTTTTCCCTAACTTGAGGTATTTGGCCAAGTTTTTTGGGGGAAAAAGTGCTTTTGGGAAGAAGCAGAAGTAGTTTCTGAGAAGCAAAAAAAATTAACTTCTTCCCAAAAGCAGAAGCAGAAATAGTTTTGACTTTTCTTCTTACCTAAAATACCCTTATCAAAATATAGTATATATCAAAATAACCATTAAACCTAATACTTAGGATATTAATGTATAAGTATTTCTTTTTATTTTTAGTATAGCTTTCTAATATATAGTGGCGTTAGATGGTGAATACTTTTATATTTGTTGAATGAATTTTAATATATTTAATTTATATTAAAAGAACTAAGTAGTTTTTAATTTTATTTTCATATTTTACTTAAATAACATGAAAAGATTTAATTATTTCCTATAATAACAAATTTTTAAGATTATTTATTTACTTATAATATTAACTATTAAGTAAATCTATTCATGTTCTCATTCGTAATTTGATACCTAAAAGCACTTTCTGAAAAGCTTAGCCAAATACAAATTATTGCTCAAAAGTGCTTTTCAGAGTGATTAGCCAAACACAAACTGTTTTTCTCCAGAAGTACTTTTTTCAAAAGCACTTTTAAAAAAAGCACTTCCCAAAATAAGTTGATTTCTCCAGCTTGGCCAAACATGCTTTTAGCTTATGACTTTATCAGAATCTATGTCAATAACTATGGAATTTGAGATGCAACTTAGTATTTCATCTTATATTACTTAAGCATAGAGTTTTTAAGGCCACTATAATTCTTCTACATTTTACCTTCCTTTCCACCGTTAGATAAATGGACAAACTTAATGAGAGAAGAAAAGAATATCCTAAAATTGTTATTGCAACCAAGAATTCTCTCATTTTATTTTTCACTATGGACTCAAAGTCTCAAATGAAGAAGCGGTCACAGGAGGATGCTGGATGCGCATGCAAGACGAGCAGAGTGCAAATGTAAACTGTTGGGTAAGTCTAGAAAGTGGGCTACTATCACATGGCAATTAGATCTGGTCAAGGGTGGAGCTACTATAACTGAAAGATGATCAATTGGATATTACTTCCTAAAAAATCATATTGTGTTTATATATTGTTGAAAAAAGCAGTAGTAGCAATACTTGTACATAGGCTGTGGGAGTTGTACATGTCAGTTAGAGTTAGTTAGATTTAGGTATATGGTTAATTGAGTAGTTAAGCTAATTAATTGTATTGAGTGAGTATGCAGTATAAATAAGGATAGATATACACGTGTATAGTTAGTCTTTTATTTTCTCAATATCAGAACAAAGTATTCATCTCTTTCTTCTCTTGCTTCGTCTGCATCTTTTCTCTTCGATCAATTTCGCTCAAATATGGTATCAGAGCCATAGATTCATGGATTTTCCGAGCTGAATTGTTGCGGAATTGGGGACTATTGTTGAAGAATCAACCTTATTATGACAAAAATTTGAGAGAATTGAGGAATTGGTACGGATTAGCCCTAGAATTTCACGATCGCTGTGACAAAGGTTGTTTTGCCCTAAAATCCAGTAACATTTACAATCGGAGGCCTTTATTCATTCCTACCTTCATATTGAGCTGAGTTTTGATTTCGAATTACTGAGAAATTGAATGTGAAAATGCCGCAATCTGGAGAAATTGAGAAGAACAATGGAGAGAAGTTCACAGATATTCGTCCTAAGCATCCTCTTTACCTGCATCCATCGGATAGTCCAGGTAGTGTTTTCCATATCAATTAATGAGAATTAATAACTATTCAACATGGAGCAATTCAATGAAAGTTGCGTTATTAGGCGAAGAACAAATAAGGGTTCATAGATGGAACATGTTATAAGGAACATTACAAAGGCGACTTAGAGCATGAGTAAGAATAGCGTAATACTTTCGTTTTATCATGGATCACTAATTCTATTTCAAAAGAATTAGCAAATGGAATGATGTATTCAACTAATACTACCAGTGTTTAGATGGATCTTAAGGAACGATTTGACAAGAAGAACTTGACTAGAATTTATCAATTGCTCCTTGAAATCTACACCATAAGTCAGGGTACATCTTCAATATCAGAGTATTACTCAAAATTGAAGAGTGTTTGCGATAAATATTGGTCCATGGTACCTTTGCCATGTGACTGTACAAAGCACAAAAAGTATGCAGAACATATAGAGCAACAGAGACTTGTACTGTTCCTAATGAGATTGAACGAGACATATGCCCAATCTAGAAGTCAAGTGTTGCTAACAGTTCCTGTACCAACCCTCAATCAAGGCTACAATATGATCATGTATGATGAAAGCAAAAGGATTCAGTCCAACATGATATCGCAACTTACACCAACACTATAATAGATAAACTTGAATGATCCTACAGCTCTAGCTGCCACACAAAACAACAGGTTCAAAAGAAATAATGGACAATACTGTAATTATTGTAATATGAAAGGACACAAGAGAGAAAACTGCTACAAGTTGGTGGGATATCCACCCAATCACAAATTCAACAAAAGGAGAACCTATGATAGACCACAAAGCTCAGGAGGTAACATAGGACATTCAGCTAACAATGTCAGTCATGTTGAAGAACCAGAAGCAAGTGGACCATCATGGATTAGCAGCATGTTAATGTTCACTTTAGAGCATATAATCAGCTTCAGAAGTTGATTAACCAAGAACCAGTAGTTGCAGAAGCCAAGGTTAACATGGCAGGTACAAAGGAATTCCTTGAGACTTGTTTGCTTGCAGGTTCTGAACTTAATTCCTGGATAATTGATACTGGGGCCTCGAATCATATGGTTTCTAGCCTGGACCTTTTAACTCAATCTACTATTGTGTTAACTAATACTAGTAAAATTCATCTGCCAAATAGAAATATTATATCTGTAACATATACATGGTCACTAACTCTTTCTGATGATCTTGAACTGTGTAATGTGCTCCATGTTTCAAATTTCAAATACAACTTATTGTTAGTCTCCAAACTTACCAAAGAACTGAGATGTTCTGCATTATTCTTCCCTGAGTTTTGCATTTTTCAGGACCTTTGCACTGGCAAGGTGAGGGGGATTGGTAAGGAGAAGGATGACCTCTACATACTTCAACCTGCCAAGAAGCCATCACCTATCAAAACACCTGAATAGTCATCAGTCACAACATTCAATACAACAGTACCTACTACAGATTCTTGTCATATTTCTTCTATTTCAGTTTCAGCTTCTACTCCAGCTTCTACTATCCCTTCATCAAATAATTCAGATCACTGCTCTATATGGCACCAAAGACTTGGTCATGCCCCAGTAGCAGTCCTACAGAAAATTCACTTTCTAAAACACCATGAGTTGAATAAAGAGTAGTTGTCTTGCACTATCTGTCCTTTAGCAAGGCAAACTAGGCTCCCCTTTCCTATTAGTCATAAGAAAACTATAACCCCTTTTGAACTTGTACATATGGATATATGGGGTCCATATAGATAATGTACTTACAATGGGTATAAATACTTTCTTACTATTATAGACGATTACTCTAGAATGACTTGGATCTACTTGATGAGAATGAAAAGTGATGTGTTCTTGTTAATTAAGTCATTTATTGCACTTGTTAAGAATCAATTTTCTGCTTCCATCAAGATATTAGGTGTGATAATGGACTTGAATTTTTAATGCTCAATGTGCAACTTTTTTTACTTCTCTTGGAATTGTCCATCAGAGTTCTTGTGTACACACTCCATACCAAAATGACATAGCTGAACGAAAGCATAGGCATCTACTTCAAATGGCTAGAGCCCTTAGGTTTCAATCTCATTCCCCTTTGAAATTCTGGGGAGAATGTGCTCTTACAACTGCCTTTATCATTAATGGATTGCCTTCTTCAATTCTTTCAGGGAAATATCCTTATGAGTTGTTTCATGGTCAACCACCTTCACTTTTTCACCTTAAGGCGTTTGGTTGCTTGTATTATGCAACCACACCATGCTTCACAGACAAGGTCTCTTCTAAAGCCATTCCTGCAATCTTTATGGGTTACTTAGAGACTCAAAAAAGGTATAAGCTATACAACATTTCAACAGGAATATTTTTTGTCAGTAGAGATGTATCTTTTAGAGAAACTATATTTCCTTTTAGACATCCCAAGTCTACATTTTTACAATCACATTTTCCTAACTCAACTCCTACCTTTCCTAGTCCAGCCTCTATTCATTCCTGTGATGATACATTTCCTATCATGGATAAGGTGCCACCCAATTTGTCTCCAGCTTCTGTTCTAACTCCAGAACCCCTTATTGCACAACCAGAACCTTCTAGTCCACAATAACCTCCATCTCCTGTTATGCAACCTAACTTGACTCCCTCACCACCTTCTCCTATAGAGTAACATCCCACTTCTATTTCAGATGTCACTTTGAGGAAGTCTGCCAGGACATCTAGTCCTTCTTTGTGGTTGACTGATTATGTCCATCAGGTCAAACCTACTTCCACTCTTTATCCTATTTCTTCTTCCCTCAGTTACTCTTTTTATCACCATCTTATCAAGCTTGTCTAACTTCTTACTCTTCCATTGTTGAACCTACAACATTTGATCAAGCTGTTAAAGATAGCAATTGGGTACAGGCTCTGGAACTTGAGGTTCAGGCCCTCACCATCTTCTCCTATAAAGCAACATCCCTCTTCTATTTTAGATGTCACTTTGAGGAAGTCTGCTAGGACATCTAGTCCTTCTTTGTGGTTGACTGATTATGTCCATCAGGTCAAACCTACTTCCACTTTTTATCCTATTTCTTCTTCCCTCAGTTACTCTTTTTATCACCATCTTATCAAGCTTGTGTAACTTCTTACTCTTCCAATTGTTGAACCTACAACATTTGATCAAGCTGTTAAAGACAACAATTGGGTACATGCTTTGGAACTTGAGGTTCAGTCCCTTACTAACAATAACACCCGGGAGTTGGTAGATTTACCTGCAGGCAAGACTCTAATTGGCTACAAATGGGTTTATAAAATGAAGTACAAGGCTGATGGGATTGTGGAAAGATACAAAGCTCGGTTAGTTGCAAAGGGGTTCACTCAACAGGCGGGTTTGGATTACCATGAGACCTTCTCACCTGTGGTGAAGATGGTCACGGTTAGGAGTGTTGTTGCTCTAGCTGCTTAGTATGGTTGGCCTTCGCTTCAGATAGATGTGTACAATGCCTTCCTTAGGGTGACCTTTCAGAGGAAGTTTACATGTCATTGCCTCAAGAGTTTGGTAGTTAGGAGGAGACTAGAGTGTGTAGACTACTCAAATCCCTCTATGGCATAAAACAGATTAGCAGACAATGGAATTTAAAACTCACCTCAGCTCTCACAGAGTCTGGTTTCAACCAATGCAAATTAGATTATTTACTGTTCACTATGAGAATTGAGAGTGCCATAGTGATTGCAATAAAGGGTCTGATATATCCCTCCACTATTAACAATTATTTAAAAATATCCTTTGTTATACTATCGGGTCAAAAGACTCCTTACCATTACACTATTAAATAAAAATATTCCTAAATAGACGGAATAGACACATTGCGTTGATTTAAGGTTCAAGGCCATCTGGTTCCTTTTAATAACTCAAATTGGACCGAACCTACTCCGACCCACATACTTTACCCACCCTTTCTCCAACTAAAAACATGGGAACCTAAGGTAGTGGACCACTTTACACTTCCTCTTCTCTTTCACTCTCTCTAGAAGACTCTGCTGGAACCCAGACGAAAATTGTTGATTTCCACTGCAGATGCTCTAAAGGTAATATTTTTCTCATGAAAAGGCTTCATTTTTCTTTCCTTAACTATTTTTTGATCACTATTTTGTGTATTATTTATGTTTTCTAGGGTTTTTCATCTAGGGTTTTGATTTTTTGTGTTTAATCGACATCCATACATTTATTTCTACACTTTCAGTTATATATTCATATTTTTTGTCTGCTTCAAATGTTTGCATGCTTTATTATTGATGTGGTCCCGATGTGAAGTTATTTTTGATCTCGATGTGGTTTTTTATTTTGCTAGCTGGTTTAGGGTTTCTTTTGGTCTCAATATTCTGAGCTTTTTCTGTCATTTAATAGGTAAATTTATCCCTAATTGTGTTACTTTTTTATTATAGTATTATGTGAGTAAGACCACCTTCAATAATTTTTTGATTAATTTATTAAGTAGTGGGCCTGAAAGTGAACTTTTATGTTGGCTGGTTCCAAGATCTGAACTTCTTCTTTCTTTATTAAGTGAAGTTGTCCCCAATTGTGTGACCTTTTGGTATTAAAGTATTCTATGAGTAGACCACCTTCAATGGTGGTATGACAGAGATGAATGTGGTCTTTTTGGTGTAGAAGGGGGACCCCTAGTCTTAACTGATTTTTTACTTCAATTTCCCTTTTTAGTTCTGCATTTTTATTAGTTTCTTTATACTTTGATAACTAAACTTATTTGCTATATTTGTGGGTTATTGGAGATGGTGTTAATTGATATAATATTCAATTATGGTGGTGATTGGGTTACACAGCCTAAGGTCTTATACACAAAGATATTGGTGCACACTTGGATAAGTTATAATTCAGACCTACTTTCATATATAGACATAGTGAATGAATATATAAATGAGGTAGGGTTTGTAGGGGTTCAACTACTTATTATTACTAGTCCTTCTGGTAAATTTTATGAGAATGAGGGGGATGTTGGGATTAGACATTTACTGGGCTTGATATCTGATGAATATAATGTTGTTAACCTTTATGCCGTGGATGAATGTGAGCCCCATATTCATGGTATCCCTGATATTGTAGACCATACAGAATCATACACCCATGAGGATGAGGCTTGTACTGACTGCAGCTTAAGTGACTTAGAATTTAACTCTAGTTCTGATCTGAAGAATATGATTCTGAAGAATTAGAAATATTGAAAGTACAAAAAAAAGGAGATAACTAAAGAACTTAATGAGTACAAATAGTTGTATAAGGGTATGCCCTTTAAGGACATACCAGAAGTTAGAAAGTGTATGAAGTTGTATGCTTTGTCAAACAAGAAAAAATTAGAATTGTTGAAGAGTGAAAGAATAAGGCTTAGGTATAAAGGTGATATATTTGGTTGTCCCTTTTTGTGTTTGATATCCAAAGAGAGGAATGGTGGGGTTAAGATTAAGACCTTAAATACAGAACATAATTGTGGTGTTGCTTATGATAACAATACAATTGATTTCAGTACCATTGCACAATATTTCAAGCTTAAATTATAGGATAATCCTAAGTATAAGGTAACATAGATATTGGCAGATTTGAAGAGGGTTTTTGAACTAAATATAAGTCATGAGAAGTGCAAGAGAGCAAAGAGAATAGTCTTGGAAAGCTTAGATGGTAGTTTTAGTGATGAGTACAATAAACTTTAAGCTTATGCAATTGAATTGAGAGATAGTAATTCAGGCAGTGATGTGATTATAAACCTTTAAAAGAATGCACTTGAAAAAGGGAGAAAAAGATTCTTGAGGATGTATATTTGCTTTCAAGCTTTAAAGATGGGCTTCAAGCTAGGGTTGAGACCTTTTATTGTTCTAAATGGTACATTCTTAAAGGGGAAAACTAAAGGCCAACGGCTAGTAGCTGTTAGACAGGATTCACAGAACTATTTCTAACCTTTGACTTGAGCTGTTGTTGATAAAGAGACAAAGAATTCATGGAATTGGTTGCTGCAGTTGCTTCAACATTCTCTGGACCTCTAGGATGGGGAAGGAATTACCTTCAAGTTAGACATGAAAAAGGTATTTCTATTTCAATCTATTTCTGTCATCTTATATATATGTTTTTTCTATGTTTGTCCTTTTATATTCTGTCAATTATATTTCAGTCCTTTTTCTATTATGTCCTATATTTCTATTTTTTCTATGTTTGTTCATTATCATTCAGTCTTTTTCTGTTCTGTCTATTTTATTTTATAGTTTTGTCCATGATCTACTATTGTTGTTTTATATTTCTGTTTATTAGATTTTTCATGAGGCATTTCTATCCTTAACCATTGCTGTTTTTTCTTATTTCTGTCCATCTTAATTCTATCAATTTTTTGTCATGAAATAGTCTAAGTGACTTTATGTTTCTATAACTATTATAGGGGTTAATTGATGCTGTTAGAACTGTCCTTCCTCAATTACAACATATGTATTGTGTTAGACATACTAAGGCTAACTGGTGCAACATATACAATACTAGTGAAAGCAAAAAACTACTTTGGTGGTGTGCATGGTCTACTTATGAGGAGAAATTCAAGGACCAACTAAAGAATTTAGGGGAGTATAACAAGGATGCAACAACTGATTTGTTAAAGTACCCACCTTTTGCTTGGTGTAGAGAATATCTGGACACGTTGTGCAAGAATCAGTTAGTTGATAATAACTTAACTGAATCCTTCAACAAATGGATTGTGCAGGCAAGGCATAAGCCAATAATAAAGATGTTGGAGGACATTAGAATCAAAGTGATGATCCTGTTAAGATAACTTGAAGATGAAGTGAGGAGTTGGAGACGTGACTTTAGTCAAAAAAGCATGAAGTTGTACAGTGAGTACATGCAAATTGCTCAATCAGCTTGTAGAGTTAATGCCAATGGAGAAAATGGCTATGAAATGTCACAAGGTTCTGATAAGCATTGTGTATAGTTGTGAGGAAGTGCACCTGTAGGTAGTGAGACTTTACAGGAATCTGATCTCGTCCAAGTCACACCTTTATTTAAGGTTATGAAACGGTCGATGCAATAGTAATACCCAACAAGGAGTCAGGGTCGATTTTCCACAGGGAGCTATGAATGTATTTAGGTGTATATATTATGAGGTATGAGCTTGAATTATCTCAAATTGCACTTCCACAAACTTGAGTTGTTTCTAGGTCTAATTTAAACTAAGATTACAAACTAAGAATTGAAACTAGGCAATTGTTTATTTTTTTGTTTTTATTTTTCAAATGATTTAAAAGGCCTAGGACTATGACCTTCACCTAGGTGTTTGACTAACGGGTTGTAAACTTTTACGCTTGTTTTATTGGTCGGGGTGCATTATAGCTATCAACAGTCGAGTACCCACTCAATACCTCTCGGTCAGAGAGTGATTTTTCCCAATTTGGATTTCTCAAGTCCAAATGGGTATTGAACAAATTGGTTGATATAAAACTCAATTCGGGTTTTACAATCTCTAGGTTCAACCCTTTAATTGGGATTATCAATCTCTTAATTTACCCTATTTCTTATTAGCCAAGTTTTCCTAGACTAAGTATCTCTTTCTTAAATAGAGACCAAGCCAAATAGGCATGAACTAATGTTTGAAACCATTAATTATACAATTAAAAGCAAGAACAAGGCTAAATAATAAACACTCAACCATAAACAAGCAATAAATTAAACACCCATTAAGATTACCCTTTAGGGTTGGGTCACAACCCTAGATAAAATCTAGCTACTCATGCTTAGGATAGAAGAAATAAAAGAAGAAATGGTAATTAAATCCATATTGATAATTAAAATGATGAAATCTATATTCAAGAAACTCAAAATATTAAAAACTACTAAAAAGAGTAAAGAAAACCGTATACTGTAGCTGCTGATGTCAAAACTTAACCTTAAAAAGTGAAACTCTTCTATTTATACAGAGCTGAAATTTTCGGACAAAAATACCCTTTTAGAGGTTCTGCACCCGTAGAATTCCATGTACGGTTCGTATTTTGCTTCAACCTGACAGGATTGGAAACTTGCAGCCGCATAATTCTGAACTGCGACCGCACTTCTCTATTTCTGATGTCCGAACAAATGTGATTGCGGCCACACTTTACTCTTTTGCGGATCGCACAAATGTGACTGCGGCCGTGTAGCTATTCTTCTGCAGCCGCACAATAATTGTGCGGTCCACACTTCTGTTAAACTTGTTGTCACACCTCCTTTTTACTACCCCGAGAAGGGTATAAGGGAGTTTTTCCAATTTAAGTGACAATCGAAACGAGATTATTTTGTTTATTCAGAGTCACCATTTGGAATAGTTTATGGTGTCCCAAGTCACCGATTCAAATCCCGAATCGAGGAAAGATGACTCTGTTTTATAGTCCGCGAACACAGAAATCCGGGTAAGGAATTCTGTTAACCCGGGAGAAGGTGTT